ACAAAGAAGTTTCGCTCGCTTAAATATGATTTAAAGAATAGGTAGTATTCCGAGGGTGGAAAAGATTTTAATTTGAAAAGAAGGCCAGGGTGCCAGACTTTATAGAARGCTTGTGAAATTTCAAGAAACACTGCTGAGGTGTAAAGTATCTTTTTTAGGGAGCAGGCGATATAGTATCAGCCTGACGGTGTATTTGGTGGATAGTTGAGTGATGTTTTCTAAATCCGAATTCTGTGTCAGGAATTAGTTTCTTTTCCTTGATGATTGGRTAAATTCTGATCAATATTAATTTTTCAAAAAGTTTTGCGAAGAAAGGTAACAAGCTAATAGATCTGTATGATGAAGGGTTATCTATAGGTTTGTTTGGTTTAGAGGAAAGAATAATTGTGGTGAGTTTCCATTGGATTGGTAAGTAAGAGATTCGGAGGATAGTGTTGAAGATATGGGTGTATTATAGCTTTATCGGGAAGTTTCCAGGCTTCAGTTATAAATAATCAAAGATTAAGATGGAATATTTATATAAAGCATCTATACTTAACGTTCAAACAATTAATTCATATCATAAAGTAAATTGATTTATCATGTATTGCATTCATTAATAATAAATGGTTTAAAATTATATGAATTTGAATTATTCCAATAATTATTCAGAATTCCACTAAAAGAAATCGATATGACTAATAATAAAAAYTATTTTATACCATATTAATAAAAATTAAACGATATGTTAAACGAATTATTTGTCAAATATAAAATTTAAAAAAAAAACAAGTGTTTCTCTCACTCCCTTTAATCGATTAATTTAAGTATTAATGTAGCTGCAGACGTATCTTAACGTAATTATGATTATTCAAGTCACCTGACGGCAAATAGAAATATTTACACATAATAAATAATGTAGTTTTAACTTTACACCGTAATGCGTATTTAAATATCRAGTATAATATATTTAAATAGTTAATTTACATGTTTTTTTTTTCAAATTATACATAAAATGTAACCGAATATTTAGAATTCATACACGATGGTGTGCCGTTTTATTATACACCGTGGTTACAATATAAAATAAATAAAATAATATGGRTACAATATTATTTTTTACTAATCCGATAGYAACATATTGTTATTTATTTGATTTTGAAACAAAATGTTAGACGTTAGTYCACAAGTGGGCGTACCACATATTATGTAAGGTACCAAGTGTTCAGTTCAGTGATTCATAAATAATTTTATTGATTGCCACGGAAAAATATCACGCTATCAAAAGTTTTTTAAATAAAAGTATAGTACCCATCCATAGTTTGAATTGTATATTATTCTTAATTTTTTAATAAAATTAGTACCTATATGCAGTGTAAAATCAACGTATTGTTTATACAGATGCTTGTATACGTTTGATTCAATCAATATAAACAGGCAAGGGTAAACCCTAAATATAACTCCATACGTTCTAACCTGTCTAGGAGTGGAATATATATCAATCACCAAGAGGCAAGAATACATTMAAGTACACTATTATTAATCYATAATATCAAATTGATTTTAGTATTCTGTAGTGCCATACTTTAAAACGGCGCATTGCGTATGCAAAATGACTACATGAGAGATAACATAAACAATAATAAATTAAGCTGGAGAACAATTATTATTTGAATACTGATATCTTTGTGTTTCCCCATTACTGCTGCTATTATCAAATTAATTGAAAATTAGATTTTGAAACTATAATTTAATAGATTTTATTAGATTCATATAGTTATAAATTAAAAAGCTTTAAAATGTAAGCAATACAGTAATAGTTTACTGCTATATAAATTGTATATTTTGAATGTTTCGCTTAGAAGCTTATATTAAATTAAACAGGATTTACATGAACTGAGTATTTCCTTTCGCTTATATGTTAGAGCAGAAAGTCATGGTTTTGTATCTTGTTTATTTAATTATAAAGTCTAATAAATACCAATAAGGAACAAAATAGGAACTATTATAATCCTTTTGAAAACATTTTACATTTTAAAACAATATGCTTGCTTTAAATAAGTTAATTGTTAAAAAATAAATTTAAATAAGTTAGAAAAAAAAAATGTTGGTAACCATTCTATCATATAGTCTGCCATAAGTGTATCTCGTCATTAGTAGGTTATTGTATTAGGATATGTTAAATTTAAATTCAAGATATGCAATAAATCATTTTAAGCTACCCGAAACACTATATGAGATACTAATACCCACTCTCGAGAAGTCCAAAAACTTATCAACTTTGTTAACAAAACAACATTACGTCACCGTATTTAACATTTTTAGAACTTAAGATAATAATGTACAAATATAGATATAATTTGGTAGGTAGTGATTAAGTAATTTCATTTAATGTGAATTCTTTAAAAATATAACACCTGTTAATAACCTTGTTGTTGATGCCTTAAACAATTATTTAAAAAAAAATAAGTTTAAACCTTTTGATATTTATATATATATATATATATATATATTACTATAAGTAGGTTTATTTTATATTGTACATTTATTTTTCCAAACAAGTAATGTATTTTAAAATTAATCATAGCGTATGTTAAATTAATTTTTGGTAAATATATTKCGTTTATCATATATAATATATAATAAAATTAATCTAATTGTTTTGATAATTTGATTATGTACTAATCTAAAATATAATAATATACGTAAGAACTTCAAACCCCCTCAAATAATATTTTTGAATTACATCAAAATAAGATTAATAGATATTCTGATTCCACACAATTTTAACATCAAATTACTATTAAAAAAAAAAAAAAAAATTGTGATGGTAATTTTTTTAGATTTTTAGGTTTTATTACCTAAAATTTAGTTATAACTCATAAGATACAAGTAATGTATTACATTTATAAGGCTTAGCTATAAAAATCGAAAACTTTTAACGATCAAATAATTTTTTAATTTTCAACATGAATCGAATATAAAATATGCTACCTTTTTATCGTAGATAAATAATATGCTACAGACAAATATCAGTGAATAAATAATAGTAAATCATTTTTAGAAAAAAAAACTTATAAGACTTTTAATAACGTTTATAGTTATTTTTTTTTAATCATATGAATAATATGATTGCAATTGCTTATTTTATTGATTTGACAAAATAGTATTTATAGAAACAATATTGATTTTTTATATTTTTAAGTACGTCAAAAACTGATATTATAATATGTTTCTTTTTTTTCTCACTATTTAATATTATGTAAATAATTATGAATATTTTAAAATGTATTATTACGTCCAATGGACTCAGATGCTGTGTCAGGATGAATAATAAAAAAAATCTAAAGATATATATATTTTTTGTATTTAAACATATGTTATATTTTTAAAAAAAATTACTTTATTAAGATTGTTTGTTCGTATTAACTAACATAATAAGGTCTCTTATACAATAAACATTGTGTGTATCAACAAAAACACTTAGTTTCTCCATGTAAATATCCAACTGATATCATTAACGTAAATATGTTTTTGGGCTGGATACAAGGTTTTTGTTGCTGACCATTAAAATAAATTATTTTCGTTCTCATGGTCAGGTACTTATTAACAAAACTATATTTATTAAATATATCCATTTCATAGATWTTTATTTATTAATTTWATTGATAGATTTTCGTTAAAGAGGAAAAATATCGAGTAGCGTATTTTGGTTTTGAGATGTATATGCGTTATATGGCTGGGGCCATTTTATAAATTTTTTCGACACCGATAGCGTTACCATTACGTAATTTTGTTATATATGTGTCCATAGCAACCTCATTATACTTTTTAGATTCTAAGCTTAACGGTAATTATTCATAATTTATAATCATTATATTAATTAATACCTACTTCATAATACGTCAAATGAAATCAGTAGTCGCATGGTATACATGTACCGATGTATTTACATGGAGTGTGGATACTGTCTTATTTTGAAGCGTGTTTTATCTATTTAGTTAATATAATGAAATGCTGTATTAAAATTATTAAAGGCTATTTATTTTTTTTTTGACTAAAACTCAATCTCAGTACGTTATTAAGTAATATACTATTCATTACATTCAAAATATAAGAAATTTGTTTATCACAATGTATATATTTATATTCTATAAGGTTATAGTTATATGTAGTATATATTATGTTTATTACAGTATTCTAAATAATACAATCAATTAATATTCTTTTATCAAAAAACAGTTATGACGATTCTATGTAAATTATAATTATAGACTAATGCTAATAACAGTAATGTATTCAGTTAATTTGAATTTATATATATATTATATATTAATATCAATCTCGTAGTGATGGACGATGTTATTACAAATACTATCTTACACGAGTATAGTTTTATTTCTATTTAATGGGAAATGATAGTTTAACATGAATGACGTTGGATGTTGCATTTTATAAAAATATAAATAAATAAAAAGCGAGAATCTTAATAGTTTTATAATCCGTTTTTTTAACAAACGGATTAAACTCATTAAATGTTTAATGGGAATTGATTTTTAAAAATATATCACTGTTATTATTTTTATAAAAACAGATAATATAATTTTCAAGTTATTTTTTTTTTATAAATACTTACCAAATAGCCATAATGTAGTAGGGAGTCCAACACACAACAAACACTATGACAATAATGATTGTCATTTTTAATGTTCTGCTTTTGGCACGTCCTAAAAATCCCAGACGGCGCACATTATCTGTACCTACAAAAATAATAGCATTCAAAATATAAATACTTAAGTTTGTGTTATCATATCATTGGTTACATGAATCATTATTTTAATGCGATTAAATTGTGTAAAAAATCATATATTAATTAATCGAAATCAACTGAATAACGTTTCTTTTTTCCCCAATTTAACTACGTCATCTGGCGAATATTTTCACATAGACCCCATACTTTCGGAATAAAATGTACAATRGCTGAAATTTTATTTGTTTTGTAATTMTTTTGTATCTCATTTCTTAATTTCTTAATTTCATATTTTTTTGTTTTACAACCCTAAAGTTTAGTAGTAAACTTCAATATTCAAATAAATTATGTTTACCAATTCCAATACGATGTATGTATAGACATACCACGATGTGTGTATTCACCTAAATTGTAATATGTTATATTATAACAATATTAAAGAGAAGAACTTAAGAATATACAATATACCTTGTGTATATTATTGTTAAACAAAATACTTATTTGTTTATGAAGGAAACAAATTTAAACTTGCATTAAAGTTACCGTATTTTCGTAACGTACTGTTCAATTTAGAACCAACCCTTATGAATTTCTAATGATATGATGATTCTATAGTTTTCAGAGAAATAATCCTTGTATCTAATRTATTATTATATATTTGTTTTAAACAAATTTACGTCATAAGACTATTAAGACTTTACTTCAGTAAAAAAAAATAGAATTATGAATAGAAAATGCAATGTGTAAATCTTACCAAAATATAAAAATATTCAGGGAACAAATAATTCTCAATAAACATTTTTAATTCTAATAAACTAAGCAAATATCAGGTTAAAAAAGCAGGAAAGTGGATATCGCTCTGCTGTACAGTAGGTTACAAGTGGGTTACTATAATGAATGGAATTAAATTTGAATCCAATTATACGAATCATTGTACCTATAAGAAACACGATTCTGAGCGGTGACGGTTTATCTGTCTAGAATATATTATAGATTATTATTA